CATAGCCAGGGCGGGGGGGTAGGGTGTGTGTGTGTGTGTGTGGGTCTTGAAAAAGTTTAAACTTGGGACCAGCAGATGGCGTACCAGTTATATCGCTCCCATGCAGTCAACCATGGTTCATGTCCTGGACCTGGTGGCTTAAAACTCATGCTGGGCAAATGTGTGTGCATGTCCATAATCCCAAGAGAAGAATAGAGAAGAAGGGATTGTGGTGTGGCCAACCCCCTCCCACCCCCCACCGAGGGCTAACTTCTCCAGCAACTGTACGTGCCCTACAGCAAAAATCTGTCAAAAAAAAAAAAGTTTAACCTCTAATTCCATTTATACAAAAACATTCTTTTAAAGTTTGCTATAGGGTGCATATGCTTGCTAGAGAGAGACAGAGAGAGGGAAAGTGAGAAATTACCCCCCAGGAGGATGGCAACACCCCAAGTCCTTCTCCATTCTATTTATGGGACTTTGGGTACACACACCTGTGCCCAGCATGATTTTCAAGGCATGAACCCAGGACTCGAACAGTAGTCAGCCATGTGGGATCCAGCTGCCTTAACCTCTAGGCCACCTGCCGGCCCTTCACAAACTTTAAAATTCCGTCTTACTCTTTGTAGTAGCTTCTCAGTCTTTCTTCAAGTAGCTTACTCCTGTTCCTCCATCAAGACTTAGGCAGAAGTCAGAGCTTCTGGGAGAGTCCCTCAGCTTTTCTCTCTGGGCCGCCTGGCTCTAGTGTTCTCTTTTCTCATAGCATGTGCGCGCTGGAAGGTAACCGCCTGAGTCATGCGCTAAATGGTGAGCTTCTTTCTGTTCTCTCTGTTCCGAAGTGGGGCCTGCAACACAGCAGGCATTCAGTAAATGTTCTAGAAAAGGGTGAATAAAGGCATGACTTAGAGGCCAACTGATCACATATAGTTCTACGAGTAAAACAATGACCCAGGACTGCCCATTCTACGAACCTTTCACATTAATCTAATTCAAGCTTACTTTTGGGGGTTCCTCAAAAGTTAAACATAGAACTACCATATGACCAGCCAATTCCTCCACTAGGTATTTATGCAAGAGAACAAAAATTAGAGACTAAAAAGTACGGACACTCGTACACGAATGCTCACTGCAGGACAAGCAGCTGGCATAATGGCTATGTTGCTGGACTCACATGTAGTCGACCACGGTTCGAGTCCCAGACCCAGTGGCTTAACCTCACGCCAGGCGCATGTGCATGCGTGCTCAAGATCCCGAGAGAATGGAGGAGAAGGAGTTGCGGTGTGGCCATCTCCCCTGGGGGGGGGGGTGATTCCTCTCTTTCTGTCCCTCTGGTGAGTGTGCACGCCCTATAACAAAAAAAAGCTCTCAAAAAAAAAGTTCACTGCAGCAGCACTCACAAGAGCCACACAGTGGGACTGACTCAGGTGTCCATCAATAGACCAATGACTGAACAGAAGCCACTCCATCAACATAATGCAGTACTATTCAGCCTTGAGACAGAACGGAATTCTAATACAAGCCACACAATGGAAGAACCTTGAGAACATCATGCTATGTGGAATATGCCACACATAAAAAGACAAATAAATGGTCCCACTTCTGTAAGTACATAAAGTGGGCAATCGCATAGGGGCTTAAAGTGGAATAGGGGTTACGGGGTGTGTGGGGAGAAGGAATGGGAGTTGCTGACAAAGTTTCAGTTTGGGATGATGAAAAGTTCTGAAATAGTGGCTTCGTATTATGAATGTACTTCATCCCTCTGAGTTGTGTATCTAAGATGGTTAAAATAATAAATTTCGTTATGTATATTTTATCACAATAAAAGAGGATAGCTTTTTTTCTCCCTTCCTCCCTCCCTCCCCTTCCATCTCCTCCCTCAACTTCCCCTCCCAACCTGCCTCTCCACCTGCCAATTTCTAACTGCTCAAGAGGATAATTTGACCCATGAAAAAAAGAATATTTTTACCCCCACAGTACTGATGGGTTTTATTATATCTTCTGTGCTTCTCACAACATGGGTGCTTTAATAATTATATGTTGTGGACCCAGCAGGTGGCATAGTGGTTAAGTGTCAGAATCCCACGTGGTCAACCACAGACAAGTCCTGAACCAGGAGGCTTAAAACTCACACTGGACGCATGTTCATGCATGCCCAAAAACCCAAGAGGAAAATTGAGAAGGTACTGCAGCGTGACCATTCCCCCAGGTGTTGATTTATTTTCTGTCCCTCTGTCTCTATCTATGCAACCTATAGCAAAAAATCTCTCTCTTGCTCACTCTCAAAAAAAAAAAAAAAAAAGGTTCACTGATTGCTGATTGGGAACTATGCTGTTTTCACATTGATCTCTACATACCATTCCTAAAAAGACCCTAAAACCATTAGTTACTTTTGTGACCACTCTAATAGTTTGATAAGCCTGGAGAAACCTTACCTTCTATAAAATCCAAACCAACAAAAAATCACCTATTGCTGACTGCAAGATGTACATTGTTCAGTGTTTATTGGGGGATGTGTTATGTGGTTGCAACTTGTGTCACTAGAGAATTTAAAAGATGAATTGCCAAGACCAGCAGTTGGCATAATGGCTGTGTCACTGGACTCCCATGTAGTCGACCGTGGTTCGGATCCCGACCCAGTGGCTTAAACTCACACCAGGTGTGTCTGTGTGCCCAAGATCCTAAGAGGAGAATGGAGGAGAAGGGACTGGCATGGCCATACTCTGTGTGGAGTGATTTCTCGCTTTCTGTCTCTCTCTTTATGGCAAGCACACGTGCCCTATAGCAAAAATCTCTCAAAGAAAAAGAAAGAAAGGTGAATTGCCTTCCCAAGGCCTTTATAAACAGTTTGCTCCTTAAGTTTTATAGATTGAAATTCTGCACGTGAAGAGTTACTTACTGTCATTGGATTAGCATAAGTCTGTAAATTAAAAAAAAAAAAAAGAGAGAGAGAGAGGAGGCTAAAACATATCCCATAAATAGGACACCTGCAAAAAAAGTGTGATTTATACATTAATGGTAACAAGGCAGAACAAGCATTGTAAACCACCAAAGAAGACAGAAAATTCAAGAAGGGTGAATATGAAATACATACAAGAAGATCCCTAACAGAGAGTCTAGAGAAGTAAGGCGGAAAAACCAGAGGGAAGCACTTCTCGGACCAGAAGTACTGGCCCACTGACTGCTGGACCAAAGGACCAGTGCGCCCCATCCCCATCTCCTGCCGTGCCCTTCCTTAACATCCCATGGCTCAGCGTACAGACCCACTCTCACTTCTAAATGTCCCAGTGCTTTCGCCCTTTGAGCCTTTGCCCACGGCATATGACAATCTGCCTGGGTCACTAGGAGAACACAGAGGTGTGATCCTGCGAACCTTCCCCTGTCCTTGTCCCCTCCTCTCTCAAAGGAATGCCCCTAGACAAACTACACCCTATAAAAATAAAATGTCAACCTAGTCCGTCACATAGCAATGTTCAACGAAATACTCTGATGCTCCATTTCAAATTGAAGCTGGGGGGAACCATGCAGTTCTGGCATGTCTCTTTTTACCCACACTTTTCGAGACAGTCACTGGATGTAAAGCAAGGCAGAACCATCGAGCAGGTTGCATCTGCAAGGCACGCTAATATGATTTCCTATCCACATCCACATATCCAGTAAGATAGTTATAATATACAGTGGAGAAGAAAGACTGATCGAAAAAATATTCACAAAAGACATTTTTCTGAGCTACACAAATGGCTTTAATTTTGCGTTTATTAGGCATCTATTACCTTCATTTGGTGTTATTAGGAGAATGCAGAACAGTAAGCCTATCCCCAGGTATGTTTGACCTGAAAATAACAAGAGTCAGGCAGAATCCCACAAAACAGTGATTTCTGAATGTCAGGTGTCTTACATTAGCTTATAAATCTTGACAAGACAAGTGACGGGGTCTTCTGAAATTCATCAGGTAATCCCATTCATTCAGTTAAAAGTGACTACAAGGTAGAAAACAGTTGGGGAGCACTTTGAGTGTCTTTGGCTATGCTGAAACGCCTTAAATAAAAACAGAGTCACGGTGTTCCTACTCCTTTTGCTGAATCTGCTTTCAGGAAAAAAAAAAAAAATCTGTGTATCACCCAGATATACTCCCAGTGTTCTCCAAATGACTCCTTTACTCTAAAGGAGAGAAGGGTCCTTACACAGATCAGAGAAGTTTGTGGCCGTTTCTCGATTCTACTCCAGATGCAGTTTCTCTCAGGGGGTCATTTTTTTTTTTTTTTTTATAGCTTAAGATACATTTTTTTTTTTTAACATAGTGCACTATGCAGAAATTACTAGGTAGTATAGTGTGACTGAGTTTTCTTGGATACAACTGTTGGCTATTTTACTAAGTAATATATACATAAAAAGGCAAAATATTAATTTCTTTAATTGGATAGCTACACTTATTTGTGTGACAACTACATATCGGCTTCTCATTAAAAAACGGTCATAAAAATTTAAGGTCTAATTTAACATGGATATTAGAAAAAAATGCACTTTCACATTTTATAGTAGGGTGAATGTTAACTTCTGTTTCCATTCAAAAATGATTCTTTCCTAATAATTTCTAAAATACTCTTCCATATAAAAATTATCTTGTCAACAAATACTTCTATTAAAGTTACAGTACAGCATCCCAATTGAGAAATTTTAAAAAAAGTGTCACCCTTAACTGTTCTTACCTGTAAATTTTCTTAAGATTTTATATAAATTTATTCACCTCAGGAATGATAAAGGAGCAATGCTACACATTTGAAGGACAAAAATTCAAAGGAGAACATTTTCATAACCTCGAGCACAGAATTTCAGGATATTAAAAGTATTTGACATCAAATAACTAAAAGGATTTTTTCAGATCCCCCCAAAACCAAGGCCTGCCTGGCCAGTGCCCCCGGGCCCGCCTCCCAGTCCAGAACAACAAAGATCAGGATGACAGGCGGAGCAGCGGAGGTGCGCGCTCCGGAGTAGAGGGAAAACATGGAAGACTGTCACACACGTAAAAGAACAAGTTTAATTTTAATAAGGGGAAGAGCTGAGTTTTAAAAGGTGGCTTAATTTTGAGTGTCCATTTTGGTTCTACCTTAAAAAAAAAAGGCATAAGAGTTTTTCCTCTAACTCTTCCCACAGCTCAATGACAGCAATACATCAGATCTAAGCCGGTGTTGGAGGTCGTCTACAGAGAGACAGATGCGACTTCGAGAACCTTTTTTAGTCTGCAGAAAGAAAGGGGAGGGCGGAGAATAAAAACTAATTTTCCAGGCAGGGAAATACTTATAAAACCTTTTATGTCAAAGTTAGGATTTCACAACATAACACACTAATGCAAAATCCAGTAGCACCTGTACGATTTAAGTAAATGCTGCCATCACTTAAATGTTTTTAAATATCTGTAAAAGATTGAAGGGGAAAAAAAAAGATAAAGTACATTCTCCAGAGAACAACAAATGTATTTCAAAATAAAAATTGTATTTCTGTTTTTCTTTTTTTTTTTTTCCAGTTTTGTACAAGAATTCATAGTTATCATATAATAACTTTACACAATGGGATCAACTTCTGCCCTTGTCTTTGTCACTTCAAGTCCACATGTTCAGGCTATAGTTCCCAACATTATTTTCTGAGAAATATGTTACCGCAGTTGATCTAAATATAGATATATTATATTAGTACTTGTCTCTGGGGAAAAAAAAATCAAATTTTAATATGCAAACATTTATTTATATAATACAGAAATGGAAAAAAACTACAGTAGGCACACGACCTAATGACGACTTAGAGATGATGATTTCTAGATATTCTCCTACTGTAAAAGAATGTTTAAAATAGTCTCGACAAGAAGGTTCTATTTATATGTGCACTTGTGTCCACCTTATCCCATATGCTGTGCGTGTCTGTTGACAACCTGGGAAGTGAAAGGTGCAGCCCTCAAGAAATTGGTAAGTTACTGAAAAAAGAAACAGTTAGGCTCTATTGGACAAAGAAAACACTCACAAAATTCCCAATTTTAAATTTCTTATCAGTAGGAAAATATTAAAAATAATTTTCTGTATATACATATGGGCGTATGCATATAGTGAATTACACATATGTCTCACATTATCAATACAATTCAAGTGGAGACATTTTGCTGAGTTATTTTCCCATTAAATGACCACTCTGTCATAATTTAAAAATACTGTATTATGTCATTAAAATAATTCACTTACCATTTCAACAGCTTACACTGTTTTTTTTAAAATTGTTTTACTCTTCCTAACTAAATGCCCTGATCCCTAGTGTTAAATCCCCTATTTAAATTAAAACCTGATGCTCTTTGTTATTCGGAAACTGATGGATAAAATCACATCTACTTCAAAATTCCATCAATCAAATAAATTTTATTACCTGATTTATCAGAGAAATAGCTCAGCTCTGAGCATATGTATCTAAAGTATTCTCCCTATAATAAATAGGTGAGGAAAATATCCTAAAAGAGATGGCGGTAACTTACATGATGGTATAGCACATATAATACATGATGATTAAGTATCTGATAGAAACTTTTCAGAGACACCTGAAAACTCACTTTAGAAACTAACTTAGTAACAAACCATTTATTTTCACTCTAATATAAATTAATATGTATGTATTTACGTACATACACATACATATAAAACAAAATTGTCTAGTGTTGAGTAGCTGTTTGTGAGTGAAAAAATGGTTACAAATTGATTCATTACCTTAATTTTGTACTTAACAATTCAATCATTGGGGGTACAAACAAAAAGTCAGTGCATTTATAGACTCCATAGAGTCAGATACTCAAGCATACACTTTAAAAAAGAACCCTCCTGCACATCACAGGCGTTGTACAGCGAGAATATATGTACTCTGATGCAATCCCGACTCCATAAGCAGACTAGACAGCACTTGGCTTACTGTTAAAATAGCTTCATAAAAGAAATATATAAAGAAATGCATGTTTGCTAAAAGTCTTTTAAAATTACATCAAAACAACATTAAAACCTGTTTACTGAGAAGAGCCTATTGGATTTAATTCCTGTTTTGAAATGCCTGGTTAACAGTTCAGAATATTGCCTTGTGAGGTTTGAATAAAGACGTGGTGGATGTGAAGCCCCAGAAAGAGCACACGACTCCGTCTCCATCTGCCACGATCACCATTAGGTACAGTCCTCTGATCGGCTGTTCGATGTAAATGGATCCCCTTTAAAATAGCTGTACACCTTAAAATGAGCTATAATAAACAGTTCCCAATAACCATTATTATTCGTAAATTGAAATGCATTGATCATTCAGAAAAGATTTCTTGCAAAATATATAAATAAATGTAACTGCATATTCTGTAAATATACTTAGCATTGCTAGACCAGACCGTCAAAGACGGGCTGCTGTATTTCAGTACTGTGTGTCAAATTTATTAGAAATTTAAAAAGAAAAATTTCTGAGGGACTCAGCTGCCTTTGTTAGTTGGCTTTAAAATGTGTAATAAAATGGGAGACAATATCTTCTAGGAAATACATGGACTCAATGTGGAAAAGTAAACTCTACAACGGACAAGGTTAGAGAACACCAGAGTGTACCAGAGTAGTCACCAGAGTGAAGTGTCTTCCAGGACAAAAAAGGGAAGAACTCTATACACCCAGTAATAGTATGTTTCCACTGAAGATGCAGCTCTCTCTCACTCCTGGCAAGAATTAATTGGTAATGACACTGCTTCTCAGCAGTGCAAAAATATCCTGAGAAATTATTCAGATCACAACAAAAGACAGGGCTTTCGTCACTAAGTTTTTGCACAAAACACAGCTCTAGATATCAGAAAGAAATTAATTTAAAAAGCAGATAATCTTCACTGTGCTGAACACAAAAAGGGGATGTGACCAAGACATTAATTCTCCCATTGGCTAAAGTCAGAAAAAAAAAAAAAAAAAGAAAGAAAAAGATTGCATTAAGTATCTATTTATAACTTTCTAGTTAACTATGGCCAATAATATACATGGAGGTAATTTGTAGTTCAAGTTTTTCAACTCTTTTTTTTCCCCAACTAGCTACAAGCTGAGTTCTAAAATTTACACTGAAATATACAATTCCAATTTTCAAAAGATCCTCCTCCTGGAGGAGTGATATTCAAATTTTTTTGTGTGTGTGCAATCTTGATGCAGAGCCCAAACAGTCCTAAGAAGAGAGACAGTGTATCTTTTAATCAATTGGCACTGAAATTTCACTTTCCTTAGCTGCATTCTAGGAGCTTGGCCAAGTTATCTCGTAATTCTGTTAGTTCAAATATTTTTCCATCCAGAATTTCTAAGAGTGTCTTCAGATTATTGCGAAAAGCTTCTTGTTCATTCTGACTCTTCTCCAGGCGTTGCTCTAAGTCAGACAGTTGTCCTTCCAGGTCTTTGTTCCGAATTTCTACTTCCTTCAGAAACAAAAGTGTGATATATACATGTCAGTTCATCACTCAGAAAATAATACGGTTCACTGTTATTAACTAATACTGTGGTAGTCAGTGCAGTTTGATGATCAGGGTGAGCTTCTGAATTTCAATTTAACACAATTTGCGGACATTTCAGATCTGGCCATCTCAGAGATTCATTGGGTTTTCTTGGCTGGTGTGGTAATCAATTGATCTACCTACCCAACAAAACTGCACCGACTAATGGCTGGGCATGGTAGTGTGTGCCTGTAATCCCAGCAACTCAGGGAGGCTGAGGCAGAAAGATGGCGACCTCGAGTCTGGAATGGGAACCACAGTAAGGCACTGTTTAAAGATCTCGGTGTAGTGGCATGGGTCTGTAGTCTTAGCTGGGAGGCTAAGGCAGAAAGACTGTGACACCCTGAGACTGTGTCTTAAAATTTTTCTTAAAAATTATGACTCATTACTGTGTGTTAGGCACTTCAAATACCAAGATAAGACTAAAGACCCACTTGGTGGATTATCTACATTTACTTGTTGTTCGCCTACTTTTCTGAGTTATTCACAATCTCAAGTAAGAGACGGCATTAAAAAAGAATGAAGGGGAGCCAGCAGGTGGTGTGGTAAAGGTGCTGGATTCCACATGGGGGACTGTGCAGTTCAAGTCCCAGACCCGGCAGCTCAAGGAACACACTGGGGATGTATGTGCATGCCCAAAATCCTGAGAGGAGAATGGAGAGGGGATTGTGGTGTGGCCATCCTCCCCAGGAAGTGATTTCTCACTTTCCCTCTCACTTAGTCTTCTCCAGCAAGTACACGTGCCCAATGGCAAAAATCTAAAATAAATAAATATTATAAATAAAATTGAAAAAGAATGAAATTAATAACTTTTCCTCCCTAGGGGTATCTCTAAAGAAAGACTTACAATAGAAAGTAACTTCTAAAATGAAATTTTAGGATCTTCTTATTATGCTAATTATTCTTTGTTTTGCCCCAATATCAAATGAAGCACATGTAGAGAACACCATTCCACTGCTAAAATCTGCAGTGAAGATATAGAATACCTGTACATATTAGGAAGCATAAAGTTAAAGTTAAAAGTGCAAACCAAGGAAAGAAAAACATGATAAAATGGAAGCAAAAATTCAAGACAACAAAAATACGTTAAAATTTTTTTCTGGCATAAAATAAACTCTCGCATACTTAAAAATTATTTTAAAGTTATTATTGTTTTAAAAAAAATGTTTTTAAGCATGACACATATAATGGAGTGCCTGAAAAAAAAAAAAAAAACCTACATAAACAGGGCCGAATGGTGGCCAGCAGTAAAACACAACACTCTGCATGGGAATCTCACAAGGAAAGTTTCCTGGTTCAATTCTGGAGGCTTCCATGAGTACACTGAGCATATGTGTGCCCACAATCTAGGGCTTCCTAAAGGCTGGGGGTGGATCATGGCATTGGGATCTTGGGGGGGTGCCTTCTCTCTCACTCTCTTCCCCACTATGGAATAAATAAATAAGTAAACATTTTTTAAAAAAGTCAAATAAATAGGGGTGGCGTGGTGGTTAAGGTGGCCAGATTCCCACATGCCTGACCATTGTTCGAATCCCAGACCCAGTGGCTTGTAACTCACGCCAGGTGCATGTGTGCACATGCCCAAAATCCTGAGAGGAGATTGGAGGAGAAGGGATTGTGGCATGGCCATCCCCATTGGGGAGTGATTTCTCACTTTGCTTCTGTCTGTCTCTCTCCTCTCTGGGGAGTACATGCACCCTATGGCAAACAAACAACAACAATAATAATAAAACTACATAAATTAGTGACTTAATTTTGGTTAAAGAATCAAATTGAGAAAATGTTAGAAAGTCAACTATTACACTTCAAATAAACTATTAAGATAAGGAATGAGAGGCTGGCCTGTGATGTGGTGGGTAAATCAGCTAGACCCCACATGGTGAACTGTGTGGTTGCAGTTCTGGAGCCAGTGGCTTGAAAAACATGTGGGGCATATGTGCATGAGTGCCCAGAAACTGAAAAGCAGAAACAAAGGAGAAAGGATTGTGGCATGACCATCCTCCATGGGCTGGTGGAGCTTTCTCATTTTCCCTCTCATTTTCTCTCTAGAATGCATGCACCCTGACAAGTTTTGTTTGTTTGTTTGTTTGTTTTTGGTTTTGTTTTTTTTTACAAAAATGGTAAATTACAGGACAATGGAAACATTTGGATGTTACATAACATGACTCAGTTTCAGAAAATAAGATGTTTCACATTCTAATACATCATTTAAATGTAAATCTCTGAAGAAATTCTATCAAGTCTAAAGAACATTGGGCATTTTAAAAATTACATTACTGACAGATGATCTTGTAAACATTAAATGAATAAAACAAAATATGAAACAGCTCACTATAACTGAGCAAAAATTTATATGCATGAATGAGGACAAACACTGGGAATTAATGTACAAATTAGAAAATAGTTCTGGTAATGGGATTATGGGCACTTTCTCCAAAAATTTATTTTTTCATAATATCTGTAAAAATTAAACTGCAAAAAAAAAATTGGGAAATTGGTTTGAATATATTTAAGAAAGCAACAGTTGATTTAGGTTTCTGAGTAGGAACACATGGTCTGACTGACATTAATAACTAAGAGTAAGGGTCAAACAAGGATGCCACTGATGAGATGCAAGAGCCTGAGAAAACAGACGAATGGACTAAGGCAACTATAATGACTTACAAATAAGGAATTTAAGGAATCTCAATCTAATCTCAAAATATCTCAGTGCTAAATGTTCACAATGTATATTTCTAGTTTCTTTTCTTTGAACAATCTGCATGGTGAAAACAAGTAAGCTGAGAACAGACTCTGAAAGTAATAAAACATTAATAAATACAGAAGCCAAGTTCACGGAGGCTGTAAACTCAGAAGAAGGAAGCAGGTCTTATGAGCAAATGTAAAAATTCCACTCAGGATTGCACAGCATGTTCTCTTGCCTGCTTAAACAATAAGCTTAAGGTTAGAATGTTTCCAGCTATAAAAATAAACCATGCCATTCACTAGCAAACACCCACTTCCCCAGGCACCACCCAGGGTGCCCTCTAAAGCCTGCCTTAAAAATGAAAAGCTCTGTTGTTCTACTTGCCAATCAACGGAACATCCAAACATTTTCAATGGAAGCAAGAAAAACACAAAATCCTCTCAGCTATTAAACTGTGTTGTTCTCTCAAGAATGGTCCTCCTCCAAGTGTGACTATCTGTGGGAATTTTACTACCTTGATAACAAAATGGATCTAATACAATGCTGATGGTGCCAGTCTATTTTGGGCAGCCAGAATTAAGCAAGAATAGCTGACCTAGTGTCCAGGGGCAGCAAGATGTAACTGAAGCCGTGGCACCTCCCATTGTCAACGTTTTGTCCATGTTTTCCAACTCTATCCTTTCCTTCCATTCTCCCTCCAAGTACATTCTGCTCATTATTATTTCTGCCCTACTATTTTGTTATTCTTTACTAATTTAAGGCACATGCAAATGGCACAAAAAGGAATGGTGAAGCCCTGATACAGTACTGTAGCCAGGAATCACTAACTCCTTTCTGGGTGCTTTAAAGAGCAATAACTGAAAGTGTAAAATCCTACTGAACAGGTTATGTTTGTATCTGTCAGACAGGGAGCCTGTAGTGATTAAAAGAAAACTGGAAACAATTATGATCACAACCAAAGGGACTAAATCAGTTTCATTTTCTCTAAATCTAAATCCCACAACATTTAGTCTAAATAAAACCTACAGAAAAATTGGGTTTATTGACACCCGCTGCACATTTTTTTAAAGGTTTATGCCATAGGCTATGTATGCTCAGCAGAGAAAGACAAAGAGAGATAGTGAGAGGGAAAAATGAGAAATCATCCCTAAGAGGGATAGCCACGCCATAACCTCTTCTCCATTCTCTTCTTGGGTTTTTGAGCACGCATTCACACACACTTGGCCTGATTTTCAAGACACCAGGTCTGGGACTTGAACAGTGGTCAGTTATACGGGAGTCCAGCACCTTAACCACCATGCCACCTGCTAGTCCTCAACTCACATCTTAAGCTCTTATGTTATTGCCCAATTAGACTGTTACCATCATATATAACAGGACATATAATCAGAAAAACAAGTATTAACAATTCAGCAGACAAATGGGTAAAAGATACATACATGGAAGAAGGATCATACAATAATTAATTATTTAACTGCTTTTATGTATTAATCATTGGGGATAAAGCAGTAAATAAAACAAAGATGGTCCTTGTTTTAATGAAGCATGCATTCTAGAAGGAAGATACAGGAGATAAAGAAATAGAACAGATTTCTGTGTAGCTAAAGTAACTGTGGCTGTGTACATTGAAATCTACCCACCAGCCCCCAAAACCATATAAACCAGTTAATAGGAATAAAACCACATAGATTCCACAACTTCAATGTAACTAGAAGACAAAACAATACAAATGTCAAATGACCTGTAATTAGAAAATATAAGTACTAATTTCCAGCAGGGATATTTCTCAAGCCCTCATGCTAACCCTTTGTAGAGGGAAGGCAGGGTTATGGGGCTATGCACAAAGAATGAAAAAACAAAAAGCCTAAGATTGAACTATGATATCCTTAAGAAAGAGTAAGACCAAAGTGAGCACCAAACACTGAAAACAAAGTCCTGGTTGGCCAGAGCAGAGTACAAGTACGGGACTTACCGGTGTATTAAATTGGAGGAGAAGCCTTCAGAAAGGCAACAAAGACTTCTGAGGAGAAGCGGGTAAAAGGAAGAGAAGGAAATCTTTTGCAATAGTATGGTAAAGGTAAAAGAAGCAAGATAGGGAAAGTTAAGTGCTTGCAAGACAAAATTAAAATACTGAACACACAATCTCTTCCCTTCAACAGTCTCCCCGAAACAGGGTGTTTGTGAACTAAAATTTCATAAAACATGCAACACCATCTTCTATCTACAAAATGCAAAGATA